GGGCAAGCAGAGGGGACAGAGACACAGGGTGTCCTGAGCTCTAGTCCTCCCCCGCCCAATGCCAAAAGGGCACCCATCTGAACTTCCTGTCCTCTGTTCCGGGTTGACACAGGCCCAGCCCATCAGGCGTTACAACCAACTCAAACAGCAGGGATTGAGAAATAAACAGGATATTCAAGCCGTCATCACACTGGCCATAGCACGACATGAGTGGAAAGACCTTGCCTGGAGGCACAAATGATTGCTCCTGGGCATTGTGAGGCCAAGGCAGGCCACTTCCCTTCTCTGAACCTCAGTTTCCTCAACTGGAAAATGGGGCTGTCAAAGCCAGCTTCCCAGAGTTGCTGGAGAGGACTAAGGTGGGAGAGTCGCTAATACGTCAAGCTGAGTAAAATATCATCAGCATACATTCAGTGACCAGGATGTGCCTACACCTACTGGGTGCTGGATTCTGGGAGCTACAAACAGGAGAAGAATACAACATGTAGCTGCCATGGGGGGCCGTGAACTGAATCAGCCACTCTCAGTCTCTGGTGTTGGCATAACTCTGCCCCTTCTTGCCTGTGTGGCCTTGAGCATGTCATTCTCCCCTTCTGAGCCTCAGTTTTCTCAGCTGAAAAATGGGTACGTTAATACACCCCGTGAGGGAATGAAACAAAATGATGCAGGAAAAGCACTTGGTAACAGCAGGCACCAAAAAAAGGGCAGCTGTTGTCACCAATAGTCTGCTCTTCTGGGCCTGTGTTTCTGCAGCAGGGTCAGACTATACTGTAAAGCACAGTGCACGTGAGCTGTAGGGTTAGCAGTGTTATGTGGAGGCTAAGTTGGGCTCTGGAGGTTGGGCTGGGTGTCTCAGCTCACAGGTTCAAGGTGGAAGGCTCCTTCAAGTCCTCCAGCCCAGTGGTTTCCAGTCCTGGTAGATTACTCCTGGATAGTCTAGTCCAGTCCACTCTCAGGCTCCACCCCTAATTCTCTGAATGTCTAGGAATGGGACTCAAGAACTTATATTTCAAACAAGCTTTCTAGGTAATTTTGTTTAACCATTTTAATTTTTATAAAAATAACCCACCAGCTGCCCCATGGGAGGAAGACTTGGCAATCGGCTTCCAGAAAGATGTACAGCCTTGGAAACTCTGAGGTAGTTCTACTCTGTCCTACAGTATCACTATGAGTCAGAATTGACTCAGTGGCAATGAGATTCCTTCAAGGAGAAAATTCCAACAAAACTAAAAGGTATACAATGAGGTGAGGAAAGTAACTGGAGTTCAAGGTCACAGTGTGGGCCTGGGCGAGTCCGTCTTCTTCTCTTGCTCTTCAGCAAGGAGGCTGAATGGATGAGCTCTACGCTCCCTCTGGCCTTGATGTCTGTGATGGTTCAAGTGTTGTTGTGTGACTTATGAGCAGACATCAGAGGGGAGAGGGCCGATGTAAGTCCACAAATGCCCAAGTCAGGACAGCTGAGGGTTTGAGTGGCAGAATCCAGCTCACACTAACTTACACAAGCACAAAGAAAGGAGAAAGGGATGAAATTTTTATTTGAACTGAAAAGTCTCAGGGGTATATGGCTTCAGGGACCTCTGGATCCAGGAACTCTAATGATGTATCTTCTTACTTCCTTAGTATTGGCATCATTTTCTTATAGATTTTGACAGATAATTGTATCTAAGTCTCTAAGGGAAAAAAAAAGAAAAAAAAAAAAAAAACACACACACACACACAGGCAGACCCATATTCTCTTGTGTGAGTGAAAACCAAAAAAACCAAACTCATTGCCATCAAGTCAGATCCAACTATGAGCAACCCCTTCTTGGGTTTCTGAGGTGGTACCACTACAGAAGTAGATTGCCCAACCTTCCTTCCAAGGAGTGGCTGGTGGGTTTGAACCACTAGCCTTCTGGTTAGTATTCAAATGCTTTAGGCATTCAGAATGCAGGAAAGCTTATATGGTGTCTACAATTCAGTAAAAGTTCTCCTCAATGCAGGCAGAGAAGTGTGTCTGTTTTCTTCATATGAGTCTAGTTTGTGCTGTCTTGTTCTTGTGTGCATGTCTGTGTGCATGTGCATGTGTGGGGGTGCACATATGTATACATATATGTGTAGGTATGTGCATGCTTGCTCAAGAATTCCACACATACTATCAGGAGTAGTATCCAGAGGACCTCAGGAAGAAGGGGGTCATGGTTTCTCTCCACTTTGGAAAATTTAACCCATAGTAGACCAGACTTTAAAGGGAAGGACCTTGAAGAGGGATGGTAAAAACTTCTCCTCATGTGGCTAGACCCTGAATAATGGCTCCTTGGGAACTAGAAGCTTTGAGCTATGTGAGCAAAGATGAGGCCTCTACTACTTTACAGCCTCCCCTTAAAGGGCCAAGAGCTTCTAGTTCATTGTCACACCAGAGCTCAGCTGTGAGAGGTGACTGATGCCACAAGAGAAGGTTGGCTTTGTCTTGGGTGTGACTGTGTTGAAAAATAGGTTCCTGTTTTAGCTCCTAGGGCTCCAAGGAGCCATGCCAGGGTGAAGTGGGAATATTTGGGTAAGAAAAAGAGAGAGAGGGATGCTGAAGGAAAGATATCTCTATGGGGTCCTGGAATCAGGTAGAAAGGAAACTTGAGGGGAAGCATCATAGAAATGGGCAACGATGATCTTTGAACAACAACCAAACCTATTCCTGTTGAGCCAATTCTGTTCATGGTGGTTCCATGTGTTACAGAATAAGGTTGTCCCATAAAATTTCCTTGCATATAATCTTCATGGAAACAGATCCCCATGCTCTTTTTCCACTGTGCCATTGAGTGGGTTCAAACCGCCAACCTTTAGATTAATAGTTGAACCACCCAAGACCTTCTTTGAACAATAGATCTCTGAGACTTTAGAATCGTGGCTCACCATCACATCAAACTGCCAGGGTCTTAGCAGTTATTTGGTGCAATTTCTGAGCATGCCTGGACCTGGGGACCTCACCACTTTTCGAGACAGTGGCTGCCCTTTGGGATGGCCCAGAGAGACCCTGAGCATGCTAGGGGTAGCCTTGGAGACCTGCAGGGAAGGAAAGCCCTAGAGCACAGGGAACATCACAGATCATGCCATGAAGGAAGGGAGCAAGGAACTGAGAATGAGGGGAATGGGGAAGTTCTACCTCACCTGGGCAGTCAGGAAGGATACTCCAGGAGGAGAAATCAAAGCAAGTGGGGAGAAGAGTTCTAGGCAAAGAGAACGGCCTATTGAGAAGCCCAAGGAAGGAGGTTGGCATCTTTCTAGAACAGAAAGTAGACCAGTAGTGGAAAGGGGCTGCAGGATGAGGATGAGTTTGGAGAGGCAGCAGAGGGGCAGAGGACACAGGTGAGGACTTTGAGTTTAACCTGCTGCATTGAGAGTGGCCTGGATGGGGGCAAGTGTTACAGAGAGAGACCAGGAACTAGGAGGTTGTTGGTATTGTGTCTTCTGACACAGGTAGTGCAGCTTTAGGCAAGGCACTTAACCTCTCCAGGCCTCACTGTTGTCCACACGTGTAAGTAGCATGGAGACAGACCTTGTTCATCCTCTGGAGGAACTTTCTACCAATCAGATGGAACAGGCAGTGAGCTCCCAACATTGCAAACATTTGAACTGAGGCTGGCTCAGTCGTATGAAAGATGTTGTAGGGGCCACTCAGTCCAGACAGATTTAGACAGAATGACCTCTCAGGTCATTGATCTTCTGACTCTCACTGGGCCATGGGTCTAGCCCCATCTTTTACCCTGTCTTACTGGATGACCCCAGGCTGGTTGCTTCCCCTCTCTGTTTCCAAATGACAGACTTAGACTGGATGATCTCTATGGGCCTTCCCTTCTGGAAATTCTCCAATTTGTCTATTCTCAGTCTTCTTTCCAGCCCCTAATCCACAATGGCCACCTCTTGGCACTTGGAAGCCCCTCGAGGACCTTGTCTTAGTCTTGGCAGAAGTCCTCCTCATATTCATCCATTCCAACTCAAGCATCCTGGATGACCTTTGGGTTGGAAGTCTCTCTGCTCATCCTGGACAGGGGTTATTTTCTTTGGAGTTTCCTTGAATGGGCCCGGAACCAGGGCTTGCTGCTGTGGGCAGCCTCACATCCTATCGCCACTATATAAAAGCCACCACTGCCCAGCTGAATCCCAGGAGACTGTGCAGGGGAACAAGGATTTTGGTAGCATCCTCTTCTAAGCCTGTGAGTGGTGAGTTAACTTTCTGTTGACACCTCTTTCTTTGGGGGCAAGAGGCAGAGGGATGGAGCCACCTGGATTAGCTAATCTTTTGAATATAGCAAATTAAGAAATATATAGATTTATATATAGTTAATATATAGTTAGTAAGGGTATTGTCAAACTGGCAAGGCTATAAAAGCGCGTGATGTAGTGTACATTGGTTGGTTCATTCTTTTATTCAACAAATATTTATTGAACACCTACTCAGTGCAAATTTTCTAATGGTGGCTGGGAATTTGACAGTGAGATAAGTCACAGTCCCCCCTCTGAGGAGTTCATAGAGTGGTGGGAGAGGCAGACAAATTGTCAGATGATTGGAACCCAGGACTCTGATCAAAGAATGAAGGATGTTGAGATGGTGGGGTGAGGTCCTCTAATCTAGACTCGGGGGAGGGGCCTAAGAGGGAATACTGTCTTGCTTAAGCCTGGAGACTCATTAGGAATTGAATTAATTTAGGCAAATTGACCTAGGTAAAAAAGCAAGGAAGAGGAAAGATGGTTCAGGCAGAGAAAAAAGCTTGTGCAAAGGACCTTTGTGAAAGAGCAAGGACTTAGACTCGAGTCTGACTTTTCAACTCCGAGCTCTTCCACTCACTGACTGTATATATCTGGGGCAAGTTGCTCTAGCTATCTGACCTTGGCTACCCACCCAAAAGGTAGGAGACAACCACATCTACAACAAAGAGCAACTGTTGCTCACTGAATACTCTTTTCCTCTCTGGGTAATTCTCTCTCCTATTCCTCCTATGACTGTCCAGGTAGCAGGATAAAAGATGTTTCGGCTTTGGAAACTTGTTCTCTTGTGTGGTCTACTCACTGGGACCTCAGCATCCCTACTTGGAGATCTTGGCAATGACCTGAATATTTTGGATAAGTTGAAACCTCTTTTTGACAAAGGACTTGAGACTGTTGAGAACCAAATTGAGGCTGCTGACCATACATTTCAAGGTGAGTCAACAAGAATGATAATCGCTGGCACCAGGAGCATGCCTTCTAACTACTATGCCTGCATTACCATAGACTGTCACCAGGAGCTGCCCTTATGGGTGGTTTACTGAGAGACGTGGCTATTCTTGGCTCATTCACTTACTATTTTTCTAAAAACAAGCAATGTTGCAATGAATAGCTTTTTACATGTTGTATCTTAGTAAACAAGGAGGCTTGCTGGCACAGTGGCTAAGTACTACTGTGAACCCACCAGGTACTCCACAGGAGAAAGATCTGGTAGTGTGCTCCCTTAAAGATACAGCCTTGGAAACCCTATAGGGCAGTTCTACTCTGTCCCATAGTATTTTGCCAATATATGCATAGGATAAATTCCTAAAAGTAGAATTTCAGAAGTTCAAAATGTATACATGTTTTAAATTATGTTGCTGTTATATGCCGTCGAGTTGGACCCAACTCATAGCTATTCCTTCTTGGGTTTCCAAGGCAGTATCACTATGGAATGTTGACATTATTCCCTATGTTACACTCCCTCCGACAGTCTGTTGTTGTTATGTGCCGTGGCATCAGACCCAACTCACAGCAACCCCTCCTTGGGTTTCTGAGGCAGTATCACTACGGAAATAGATTGCCCAACCTTCCTTCCAAGGAGTGCTGGTGGGTCTGAACCTCCAGCCTTCTGGTTAACAGTCAAGTGCCTTAGGCACTACGTTACCAGAGCTCCCTCCAACAGTCTAGGAGAATGCCTTTTTCTGACTTCCTAGCCAGCACTGGGTATGGAAAATTTTTAATGTCTTTCCAGTCTAATAGGTGAACAATTATAACCCCTTTGACCTTGCATTTCTCTAATTATGAGAGTCCACTCATTTTTCATAAGTTTCCTATCTATTTGCATATTTTAACTTAAGTATTCTGTTCATATTCTTAGCATAGAAGACTATGCTAATTTCTGTTATTGATTTTTTGTTGTTGTTGTTAATTCACTGGAAATTGATCCTACCTAGCCAGCTATGTCAGGAGCTCTGGTGGTGTAGTGCCTAAGGCAATTGACTGCTAACCAGAAGGTTGGTGGTTCAAACCCACCAGCCACTCTGTGGAAGGAAGACTGGGCAATCTACTTATGTAAAGATTTACTCCCTCAGAATCCCACAGGTGGTTGCTATGAGTCGGAATCAACTAGATGACAGTGAGTTTGGGTTTTTTTTTTTTTTTTTGAGCCAGCTTTGTATTTAATTACACTTGGCTTTTTATGCTAAGTCCTTAAAAGAATCTGATTTTCTTTATTTCCTGGAAACATTAACAGCGCATTTTCAAACATTCTTTATAAGAGGAGGTAACTTCTGCAAATGGCTACCTTGCAAACCTTGTCGAGGCTTAGGCAACCTTCAAAGATTCTGAAAGGGTTCATTTTCTAATTTCACAGCTGGAGAAAGTAAGGCCCAGAGACAAAAGTTTCTGAATCAAGGCCACTTAGGAACTTATATGACCAGATTCAGTTACAGCACTAGTTTTAAATAAATTTATATTCTTTATTTGTATCACTATAACTAGGCAGATATTGTCCATCACAGAGGTAAGTTACTGTACTGTGATTAAGTTTCTTCTCTTGCACAGTCTTTTGTTTTCCCAGGAGTTAGTAATTGCTTTGTTTTTTCTCACTTATTTTCTACACACATATCCTTACCTCTTTTCATATGCACTATCCTACATCTGTAATGTCATTTATTATTAAGTCTCCTTTTTCTCTGGAAACCTTCCACAAGTAACATTCTATCCTTCAGTTCTAGTATGAACTGTTCTCCAATTCTACCACAAAGCTCTCATCCTGAGACTTACTTTTGCCACTTTAATGGACTAGAAACTCCCCCCCTGCCCCCATTTGATTCTAAATTGTCCTGTATCTTAGTTTATTCTCTCATTTCATTTAGTCTAGTTTTTTACACATATATAGAAACCCTGTGGGCCATTAGACCCCTAAGACACTCCTACAAGCTGGTGTACAATCAATACCAGTTGTGTGACCAATTGATTGGTTTGTTGATAAATTATCAGTATTTATGGAGGCAGCATGGAAGGATCAAGAGCTTTCTAGCTTTGTGACTTTGCACATATCTCTTCACCTTTTAATCCTTTATTTTCTCATCTGTAAAATGCAAATAATAACAATACCTACCTAGTTGAGTTGTAATGAAGATTGAATAAAATAACATAGGCAAATAGCTGTATCAAGTGTCTGGCACATAGTAGCTGCTTCATAAGTGGTGGTTGCCACTAATGGCCATTGTTTTGTCAGCTATCTTTCAGAAACTAAAGGCCAAAATTGAAGCACTCCCGGACTCCACGGTTTGGCAAGAGGTCGAGAAGAAGTATCAGGAAGCTGAGAAATTGTTGAACAATGCCATCTCTGATTTGATTCCAAGCACAAAACCTTTAGGGTAAGTTGGTACTTCTTGGTAGAGACCTTTGCTTCAAGAAAAGAGAGTATGTATCTTTGGGGAAGTAGGTGTCAGCTCAAAGAAAGGCAGGCAATAAACCTTGTTCCTCCCACATAGAGCCCAGGTGGCCTGAGGCCAGGTCGATTAGAGCTTGAGAGAATTGAAGGCAAGGCTACAGGGCTAATTGGGGCATCTTGTGGGTTTGGGCCTCCACATCCTATAATTTAAGAGTCAGAGTGAAGTTTCCTCTCACCCTCACCTCACCCTCTGAAGTCCTTTTTGTAATGTATAAAAATTTTCCTTCTCCAAAGACAGCTTGGTATAAAAGTTCAAATCCTCTTCAGGGGGAAAAAAGAAACCAAAATGCACACCAAATAACCCCATTCCAGGCACTCTGATGGTACAGTGCCTAAGGCATTTGACTGCTAACCAGAAGGCCCATGGTTCAAACCCACCAGCCACTCTGCAGAAGGAAGATGAGGCAATCTACTTCCGTAAAGATATACTGCCTTGGAAACCCAATGGTGGTCACTATGAGTTCGAATGAACTAGATGGCAGTGGGTTTTTTTGTTTGTTTGTTTTTAGCCCCATTTAGTGGCTCCACCCCTAGGGTTTTGGTCTGAGGCTTTTCCTGGTTCTGGCACTTTCTCCTCTTGGGATCTTGGGGAAAATCCCCTCTGCCTGGGCCTCAATGTGCCATAGCACAGCTTGGAGAGAACCAGACCTCCGAGCAGGGCGATCATGAGGACCGAGGGAAGAGAGGCTGACGAAGTTCAACTGCTCAGCAAGATGCCTGCATAGAGGAGGGCTCAGCACATGCTGTTGTGAGGAATAACAAGTGTGAACTGTTGGTTCTGTGCAGGTTGAAAATTGGCGGTTCCCGTGTCGTGAATTTCCAGCCTGAACTGACTCCTGACGGCAAAGGCCTTAAACTAAGGTTCCCCATCACTGCTAATGTCACCTTGGCCCTGTGAGTATGCATTAGACCCCCAGGATTTGGGGGAGGTGGTGCATGCAGCATGGTTGACGGGTCCATGACCTGGGAATCGGGCACCTTCCCACTCTGCAGTGTGACCTGGGGCCTGTTTCGCAATCTGTATACAAGAGGCCTTTCCAGATCTAAACTCCCCATCTCTAAGGTGTTCTACTAAGTTTGAGCCATAACCAAGTCTTCTTAGAAAAAGACTACTTCACTCACTGACTATAATACTTTTAAACTCATAACATTTATCTAGTTATAAAATTTGCAAAATTGTGAAGAAAATAATCACTCGTAATCCTACTGTCCAGACATAAAAAATTGATAACTCTTGGGTAAAATTCCATCCCATGTCATTTTGTCTCCAAGTTCACTTTAAATACCAGTGAGTATGTACAAAACCATGTAGTGTATATAAACGATTTATATGCAAAATATAATCTTAAAAGATTTTGATTATTTTATAAGAAATAGGAAAATGAGCATGCTTAGAAGAGTATTTAAAAATTACTAATGATTCCATCAAAGAGTTGTGGTAGCATAGTGGGAAAGGCATTTGGCTGCTAACCAGATAGTTGGCAGTCCAAACCCATTAGCTGCTCTTGCAGAAGGAAGATGAGGCAATCTACTTCTGTAAAGATTTACAGCCTTGGAAACGCAGTGGGGGTTGCTATGAGTTGGAACTGATTCAATGGCAGTGGGATTGGTTTGGTTTTAATTATTCCATCAGTCACTAGCTGTGAGATCTTCAGATAGTTATTTAAATATCTCTCTATACCAAGGTCTCCTCATTCATAAAACAGAGATATAATAATACTCCCTCCCTCACAGCATTGCTGTGATGATTAAATGGATTAATCCATAAAGAAATCAATATATTTTTAAAGATGCCTAGCTCATAATATAGGAGCCCTGTTGGCACCATGGTTAAGTGCTCAGCTGTTGGCCAAAAGGTCAGTATAAATGTTAACTATTATTATGCTAATTAGTTGTGTCATGCTCTATAACAATTGCATATGAACCAAACCCATGTGACCAGGAGATGAATCCCCTAGTATAAAAATGTTAAATCACATGTATGGACAATGTTGACATTACCTGGACAATGTTGACATTCCCCACTGGCATCATGAATAATGTCCACCCAGGTAGAGGAACCCAAGTGGGCAACACGAAGGGCCTTCTGGACCTCTGTTCACAGTGAATCTTATTTCTTGCAGGCCTATTATTGGAAATGTCATCAACCTACAGGCCTCCTTGGATCTCCTGACTGAAGTCAATATTGAAACTAATAATAAGACGGGCCTCCCTTTGGTGGTCCTGGGAGAGTGCACCAGTGACCCAGCCAGCATCCAGCTCACCATTCTGGACAGGTAAGGCCCACTGCCCAAATCAAAAAACCCTACTGCCATCCAGTCTATCCTGACTCATAGTGACTCTTTTGGCCAAAGACACCCTAAAAAAGGCAACTCAGCAGAGCTGGGTTCTCTGAGAAGTTGAGGATGTCTACTTCCAGCCTGATTTGTATCCTGGGAGGTGGCACAATGTGGTGAAAAAGAGTCAGGGTCTGGAGTCACATGTAAGTTCAAATCCCAGTTCTGCCATTAACTTGTAACTTAACCTCTCTGAGCCTCAGTTTTCATATTTATAAGCTGGGGATGGTAGCAATACTTACTCTTAGGTTGCTGAGATGATCAAAAGAAAAATGCTAGTCAACAATTTAGAATAGAGCTTGGCATATACTAAGCTGTCAGCAGTAATAATATTTGTGCTGATTTTTGTACACTGTTCTCTCAGTCACTGAGAAAGGAATGTCATCATCTCCAACTATAATTGTGAATCAACCTATTTCACCTTTCAGCTCTCCTTCACAAATTTTGAACCTCTGTTGGTAGGTGTATGTATACACATTTAGGATTCGATGAATGGAGAAAGGATTGAAGTTGTCAAAGATTTCATGTTACTTGGTTTCACAACCAATACCAATGGAAGCAGCAGTCAAGACATCAGACAACATATTGCATTGGGCAAATATGCTGCAAAAAAATTATTTAAGTGTTGAAAAGCAAAGATGTCTCTTGGAAGACTAAGGTGTGCCTAACCCAAGCCATAGTATTCAATCACCTCATATGCATGTAAGAGCTGGACAATGAATAAGAAAGATCAAAGAAGAGTAGAGGCTTTGGAGATGTGTTGGTGAAGAGTACTGAGAGTACCAGGGACTGCTAAAAGAACTAACAGATGTCCTGGAAGAAGTGCAGCCAGAATGCTCCTTGGGAGCAGGAACAGCCAGACTTCGTCTCACCTACTTTGGTCATGCTGTCAGAAGGGACCATTCCCTGGAGAAGGATGTCATGCTTGGTAAAGTAGAGGGTCAAGGAAAAAGGGGAAGGCCCTCAATGAGATGGATTGACACAGTGGCTGCAATGATGGGCTCAGGCATACACCTGAGGCTGGCACAGGACCAGGCAGTGTTTTGTTCTTTTGTTCATAGGTCGCTATGAGTCAGAGCTGACTTGACACCATCTAACAACATGTTTTCTCAGAGAACTAACCTTTCATTGTTGTGTGAAAAAGGAGCTCTGGTGGTTTAGTGGTTAAGGCATTTGACTGCTAAACAAAAGGTTGGTAGTTTGAACCCACCAGCTGCTCCAAAGAAGGAAGACGGGACAGTCTGCTTCCATAAAGATTTACAGCCTTGGAAATCCAGTGGGGTTGCTATGAGTCAGAATCTACTCTACAGCAGTGTGTATGGTTTTTATTATTAATGTTATTATTGTTGTATAATGTCCCTAAATAATGATAATTTATTATTCATTGTATTTATCTTCTTGTCTCCAGTTGAGGGATAGAGAAGGAGTAAATACCTACCATGGGCTCTAGTTTCAGATTGTCCCAACTCATCTTCCACCTACTGGAAATTTTCTGAAATGAGATCTTGAAAACTTAATCCTTCCATTGAAATCATTTATCTCTGTTAATCCACATAATCTACATCTTAAACTGTGTGCTTGAAAAGACAGATTTGGCCCAGGGGAGACAGTGAGAGAAAGGGTGACCTTTCAGTTCAGAGAAAGTTGACCTTTAGTTGGGAGGGAAGAGGCGGTACCTAGGAGAAATGGTCTAGAAGTCGGGGGTTGGCATTGCTGACACTGAACTTGGTTGGCCTTGGCCAAGTACAGGGTAGGAACAAAGGGCATCCCACCCTTCTTCCACCATGAGATCTGAGCCCCTAGAACTCAACCATTGCCATTGAGTTGATTTTTACTCATAGGGATCCTGTAAGACAGAGTAGAACTGCCCTGTAGGGTTTCCACAGCTATAACTCTTTGTGGAACCAGACTATCACATCTTTTTCCCACAGAGTGGCCAGTGAGTTCAAATCACTGACCTTTTGGTTGGCAGCTGAGCACTTTAACTGCTACACCATCAGGACTCCTGACCCCCTCAAAAAAAAAAAAACAAACTCACTGCCTTCAAATTGATTCAAACTCATAGCGACCCCCATTGGGTTTATGAAGTGGTAGATCTGAAGTGGCCCATCTTCCTTCTGCAAAGCTGCTGATGGGTTTGAACCAACAACCTTCTGGTTAACAGTCAAATGCTTTATCCATTAGGCCACCAGAACACCTTCCTGACCCCCTGGAGACCCCTAAAAACCAAGGAAAGTCTCCAGTGTTTGTTGGGACACAAATTCAGAGGCCTGAGTCCTGCCAGATACTGCTGAGCAGCCCCGTGGAATTATTTCCTCTGTCTGGGTCTCAATGTCCACATCTGCTCTCCAAGTCCTCTCTTTTCTTTTCACTTAAGATTAGATCCCAAGGTCTTACCATGGCTGTTAAGGTTCTGCTTGGTCTGGCCCTACTCTCATATTAGTACATCGCCCCCTCATTCACTGGACCCCAGACACACTGGCCTTTGTTCTGTGCCTCAGACAAGCTCTTTCCCACCCCAGGACCTTTGCACCAGCTGTTTGGCTATCTAGAACACCTTGCCCCACACTTAGCCTCAATATACCATCTCATCCTTCAGGGGCTAAGATAAAGTTTCTCCCATTCTCTCTCAGAATAGCCTCTTTTTTCCCTTCAGAGTATTTGTAACAAGTTGTTACTATATATTTAATTGTATGATTACTTCATCCTTTCAGCCATTAATTCCACCCCTACTACATGCCAGGCACTGTTCTGATGATGAGAGACAATGTCCCTGTGCTCATGGAGCTTATTATCCGAAGAAAAAAGCAGACAGACAGAAAGACAAGCATTCAATCAACCAATAAAGAACCCTCAAGGAAAATGTCAGATCATGAAGACTGCTGGGCAGAGCATTAAACTTAGCAGGGCATTCTGAGAGCAAAACCTTCCATTAGACAATTAGTCAGGGAGGGCTGCCTTGAGGAGGTGAGAATTATGCTACGAGTTGAAGGTGGGAAGAAGTCAGCCTTGACAAGACTTGTTTAATGTTTAGACACTAGGTTAGGAGCTATTTGTACATTGCTCATCCTGATATCCCCAGGGCCAAGTGTAGTGCTTGGCATGTAATTGGTGCTCTGTAGACATGTGTTGAATGAACAAACGCATGAGGTCCTAAGATTGTGATGAGACTCTGAGGAGGCATTGGGGTGAGTGGCTTAGGATGTGGGGTTCTATGTGATGATTCATTCTCCTAAATAGAGGCTCTGTCTGTGGTTAGAAAGGTGTCCCTGGTATTATCTGACTTCTAGTTACTCTCCCCCTCACCCCACACACCGTGCCTACTGATGGGGCTATATCAATTTCCTCTCTTTTTCAGAGAAAGCACATTCATCAACAGGATCGTGGACACCTTGAGCAACTTCCTAGACAAGACAGTGTCTTTCCTGGTGCAGAAGGAGGTGAGTCTCCCACTCCTGGGGACCCAGAGCCAGGCCTGGTTGGGGGAAGCTGTGGGTAACTTTCCTTCTCAGGTACACAGTTCTCTTTGGAAGGTCAGTTGGAGCCTCTCCCTCTAGTCTTCAGAGTAGGGAAGGAAGGGGCCTGACATTAGCTAAAACTGCTGGGTACCAAACTCAAACCATTTGCCATATCCATGTACCACCAATATGCCTTTTAATCTATTGTTTTCCTTTAATTAGCAGAATTTTACTTAAATTTAAATAAATTTATTTTTTAAAGGAAACTTTATATCCCTACCACAAATAGAAAACTAACACCACTTCTCACATAATTAATAAAAGACTAAACACAGATTTATTAAAATAGTTTGTTTTTTCCCCCTATTTGTGTATCCTCCAAGACCACATTGTATCATCCCTAGGTTTCCT